TCATACATTTGATTTTTCAGGATTCTTTGATGAATAAAAAGTTGAAAAGAACAGCATTTATTTGAAAGAGCAAAGGCATTTATAATATTGCAAATGCATCCTTGCTGAATAAATGTATTAATTTAAAGAATAAATAGTATATAGAAATCAATAAAAATAAATATAAAAACATGAATATAAAATTAATATAAAATATAAACAAAATAAGAAATATTACTGCATTAATAATAATATTGTAGTGTTAAAAATAAAAAATTAGTTTATATTTATATATATATATATATATATATATATATATACATACAAATATATAAATGATTATAGATAGATAAAAAATACATGAAAATACAAGGTGTTCTTTAGAACGTTAAAAACACATACATACAGAAATTAAAATAATAGTAGCTTATTTCTATATATTTGTATTTAATTAAAATGTGCATATTTGCAAAAAAAAAAAAAAATTGGCTGGACAAAAAGGGTGTAAAAAAAAAAAAGCATAAAAACAAAAGTTACTCAATTTCTTCTGAAGTGAATAATGCCTGTATTATCAGTATTAGGAATTGGCTAATAATATTGCCTTCATTATTTGGGGGACAAAAGCCTTGTTCTAACGGCAGACTCGTGTCAGACACTGATGTGTTTGTGTGTTTGCTCACCTGGTTAGATGTCGACTGGACTCGTGCACCTCCATCTCCGTGCTTTTGAACTCGTTGAGTTCTTTGCGTATGGCAGCCTGAGAGAGACAAAATCACACCAAACTCAAAACCCATGAAAATTAGCCGAAACAGATCATCTGAGCAGCCGGGCCATGTCTAAACTGATCTGATTTTCTACTAGTATCCTGCTCTTGTTTTCTAGTAAGAACACCTCATCCTTAAACTAGAAGCATTTTATTTCAGCAAACGTGTTTTCACAAAATCTCTCCTGAACGCGTGTTTGTCTAGGGCTGAAAAAGTTTTAGAAGAAAAAACGTTTTACCATATAAAAATTGTGATTGTAATTTTTATTTTTTTGTGCTTATTTTGAAGGACTGCAAAATTCGTTTAAAAAAAAAAAAATCACATTGCGGTAATATAATAGTAATTATTGTTATGATTTTTATTATTAAACAAAACAATTCCACAAAATAAGTAATAAGAAATATTACTACTTTAATATTATTATACTGTAAAATAGAAAATGAGCATTAAAAAATTAGAATAGGAATAAAGTATATATAAAATTTTAAGTGTAAAATTATATATATATATATATATAAATAATACATAGTGTTTATTTTATGTGAAAATCTACTACTAACAATATAACATTTATCCCTTAATTTTCTAAAGTGAAACAATCACGCTTTTATTTGGTCAGAGAAGCTCAGGGTGATGGAGATGAACCTTATCAGCAGCAGTGAGTCTGGTCCAGGGTTTGTCTGCACGCCGGTCGTAGTCCTGAGCTTCTGCCACCTCCACGTAATCGCTGAAGCGGATGAGAATCTTGGCCTCTCTGAGCTCCTCCACGGTGGGCCTCTGACTCAACTGAACACACACACACAGAGAAACACACTCCTGAAGATGTTGCGTAACTCCGATCGAATGTGTGCCGTGACCCAGAAGAGTTGGTTGCTATAGGAACAGTGTGGGGCAGATCTCTGGCTCTCACCTTCCTGGAGAGCCGTTTCTTCAGCTCGCGCTTCTCCTCCAGCTCCTCCTGCTCGTTCCGTGCTGAACGAGAGAGAATCAGACACTGAAACACATCGACTCACACATGACTAGTGGTCGACCGATATTGTTTTTTTGACAGCCGATGCCGATATCTTGGAAAGCAGGGTGCCCGATGGCCGATATTAAGCCGATATAATTGTATTTATTTTAATTAATATTTAAGAAATTTTAAATCATTTGAAAATGGACTAAAAATACATTTGTAAAATAAACATACTTATACTTTAGATGACAAAGTATTTTCCACAAATAAATAAATATTTAATAAAAATATAATTAAAAAGGAAGTAAACACTGTAAGCAACAGGGCACTCAGTATTCTGGGAAGTTTGTGTGCATTGGGAATCATATTTTTTCAAATAAAGCCAAGGTAACACTCATTTTACATACAGCACACAGTGAAAATGACATGAATATGACAGTGGGTAAATGCATAAAGCGCAGCATAATTTGAAATCACGAATTTAATGTTTAAAGCATTCAATTCGCACGGACTGAAGGTCACGCAGAGAACACGCGATCATGCAGGATACAAATGCACACTTCACAAGAGCTCACAACTAGATTCGACTAAGTTTGCAAGGTTTGTGAAATTAAATTTTCAGTAGCCATTCAAAGATTTGTTTAATAGATGTAAATGCGTATTTCCTGAATGCTGACAGCAAACGAGAAAGTATTATAATGTTTGCCTTTCTATTACTAATAATATAAAAGCAATCGTTATAATAATTTTTGTATACATTTTAATTCCTTTGTTTAACCGTTCTATCTTTAGACAGAACTGTTAACAACGACGGCGAACAAGACGGCGAACACTGTGTGCTCAGGCGCTGCCGCTCTCAGTGCCGTCAAAATAAAAGTCCCGCATCGAACGCATCGGCAAAACAGAAAAATTTATCGGCCGATGCCGATATTTGAAAAATACCAAATATCGGCCGATATATCGGCCTTGGCAATATATCGGTCGACCACTACACATGACGCTTTCCTCATGACACTCATGCTGCAGTGTGTGAGACGTACGTTTGAGGATGTTCCTCTGCTCCAGCTCTTCTGCTGACGGCCTCTGGCTCAGACGACTGGAAACAGATGGAAAAGCAATAAAACATCCCCATCTGATAATAAAGCAGTTTATTGCTTTAAAATAACTCTGTGTGCATATTAAAATCGGGTATGTTCTGTTTCTGTAACACCTTATGTTTTTAATTACAAGTATTATTTTTGCAATGAAGTGGAAACATTTTCAAGACGTCTGATAAATATTTTGATGCATTTACAAGAAATCAAAGGAATGAAGGCAAATTATAAAAATATTAGAAATAACGATACAATATATATTATCTAAAGATATTAAAATATAAAACATGCAATTTATAGCGCAGTTAATAATGAACTGAAATGGTAATGTCACTGGGTAAATAACGCTAACATTAAAAACAGTTATTAATGCGACTATATATAAAATATCTTTTTTTTATGTTCTTCCAACCAATATAAATTAATGCATTGATTATGGAATCTAACAATTAATAAAAAAAAAAAAAAACATGTCTAATGCATTCATATTTCACTGAAACATTTAATAAAGAATCAGAATCAAATCATTGTGCAAACACTGTAGACTTTATCATCAGGCCTCAATATACATTAACACATTCAATTGAATGCAACAATTTACATAAAAATCACTTTACAAATTATTTAATCTGAACAAACTATGTGCATCAATTTAAATGTTTATTTAATTGAGTTTAATATGAATGGTTTATTATTAATTCCATAATAATACAAATGTAAAATTAAAATAAATAATTAAAAAGTAAAAACAATCAAAATAAAACACTTATTAAAAAAGACAACATGTTTGATTTATACAACTTGTGTGTTGTGATGATTAACCAACTTTAGAGAACTGTGAACATGCAAATGTGTTGTTAAATTATTGATATATTCAATTAAAATTAGGGATGCACCGATCCGATACTCAATATCGGTATCGCTCCGATACTGGCATTTTTTGTCGGATCGGGTATCGGTCGGACGAGATCGATCCAAATCCGATATAGTGCGTATACTATTCTGTGTTATTGTTAAGCCCCACGAAAGGCACAAAAACATTATAAAGCACCATAAAGTTTTCGGCACTATATTCCAAGCGTACTGAAGCCGTTCCATAGTTTAAAGTGAGGTACAGGTGAATATTTAAGTCGTTAAATTCAAGTTCACGTAAACTTTCACGTAAACTTTCTTGTTCTGTCCTATCTATCATGTTGCTGCCTCCATTACTGTGCTATACATTTAAAAGAAATGTCTTTTAATTTTATAGTATCTATTTATATATAAATATTTACTTGTTTTTCATGAATGTATTTTACAACAATACAAAGAGCAATGTAACATTTTACCAGATTTAGTCCAACACTTATTCACTTTTATTTGTTCCCCACTAAATAATGTTATTTCACTAAATGTTTAGATTTTATAAAATTGTGCACTCATGATTTTTCTAGAATAAATTTGCTGCTAAATTATCCGTATTTTTGTCATAGATTGATTATATATTTTTTCATTAAAATGAAGCTGTCTATATTTAGTAGATTGTGTTTAACACACAAAACAGTGATGATCAGGTCAACACATTGAGGTATAGAAATTCTACATTGATAAAAAAAAAAACAGTGCTGGTATCGGATCGGTATCGGTATCGGATCGGATGTGAAAAAAATGGTATCGGTGCATCCCTAATTAAAATCTCAGGGGGATTTTAAGTAAATATTTAACATCAAAGGGGTTCAGCTGACAACAAAAAAAAAACGTTTGTTTGGTTATTTTAGTATAATTGAGATACTGTTTTATTTTTTATTAATTATTATTAATTATTAATAAATATTACTTATTAATATTTTTAATTAGTTTTTAATTATTAATGTTTTCATTTGAATTTTTATTAAAGTTTTACCAAGTTTGTTTTTTAAATGTCTATATAGCTTTTATTATTTTTTTCCAATTTTAGTTGTAATTATTTTAGTACATCGAGTTAAAGTGCGTGCATGCGTGTGTGTCTGAATGTGTGAGTGCGCGTGCGTGTGTGTGTGTGTGAGTGTGTAAGAGTGTGTGTGTGCGTGTGTGTGCGTGTGCGTGAGCGTGAGCCTGTGTGTGTGCCTGTGCGTGTGCGTGTGCGTGTACCTGGTATTTATCACGTTATGGGGAACAAATGCACACACACAGTATGAGTTCACGTAAACACACACACACACATCACATGCTGTATTTCCCGCCAGATATCTTACTTGTAAACAGCGAGTCATCATCATCCTCCTCTTCCTCATCCTCTTCCTCGTGCATGCTGAAGGTGTGTGTGATGAGTGTGTGTGTGTTGGCAGGAGTTTGGTGCATTGAATCTCTGTTCTCCTTCTCCTCTTCCATCTCCATCAGGACAGATGGCACCGCCTGCAGTACAGAACTAC